GGTATAAAAAGTCTTCACGAAAGATGTTATTACTCAAATAAAAAAACTTCAAATTCACTTAATAGTAATTATTTAATTTGAATGAATCTCTCTCTCTCTCTATCGATTTATAATAATTTGAAGGTATCGCGTTACATATAAATAAAAATAGGCTGATCTTATTTGTACAGTAGTTGTACGTCTAATATATTTTATTTATGCAGTTACTGGATCGCTATCTTTAATTTAGAATTTTCGAAAGAGACTCATATATATGTATATTTATCTTGTTCTCATTTTTTTCAAAAATTGGAGCGTGTCGTCACAAGTAAAATACGTTTGTCACTTCTAATTCTTCTGAGACTGTCCAACACCTATAATTTTCGAGTCAAAACTGTCACCAAATCTTAAATAACATAAAGCAGTTATGATTTTGGGGGTTTTGGGCTTTAAGTAAAAAAAGTACCTAACGAGAAGGCTAATAAATGTAATATATTTCATAAATTCAAATTTTAAATATGTCAAAAATGAAAAACTCAAGTGATTGAAAATTGAATCTGAACTAGACAAATCTATATATGAATATATAATAAAATTATAACTGCATCGAATCTGTACATAAAAGCTTTTGGTAAATCTTATTGAAATAGTCATTATTATAGACACAGAAGAGGAATCTACAGTTTTTAGAATTTTTGTCTGTCTGTCTGAAATTTGGTATCATGATAGCTGGTTATCCAGATCAACATAAAAAACACTTTTTACTACCGAAAAATATCTCATCTCTGAGAAATCTATACTAACCGTTAAAATGTATCTAGAACCTGAGCGGAGCGAGAGTGATTCACTAGTAATTATGTATTAGTTGTACAGTAACTGGATAAATAGTTACTTCCATAAAAATATAATAAAATTAAGTACCTTTCAAAGTGGTCAATAAAATGGTAAACTTATTAACTTGTTTCATGTAACGTATCGAAACGGAAAGTCTAACGAATGCGGTCATGATCTCATTTCCTTACACTAACATTGCCTTCTATTAATAGAATAAACACGCATCGCGAATTAACCAATCTGTGTTAAGGTGCCTATTACTATGACCTGGATCGAGATCTGCAAACAGGCGTTACACAAGCTTTTTTTACAGCTTCGCTTGTGTTTACATTATTTTCCTATTATGAAGTTTGAAAGCTTAACATAATACTTTTTCAGATATACGCGAATATTTTAAATTTTATAAAACTATGTTTTCGGATTTTTTCGCAGATTTGTTTTGATTTTTGATTCCTGACGTTTTGAATGCTTTACAGCAGTCATGGTCACAGGAGAGAAAATTGAAAGTTTAAGTCAAAAAGGTTCTAAAATCGTCATAGCTGTTTATAATATAATGCCAGAGAATTGTTATTTCAAGTCTATTTTACTGCTCTTAGGTATAAAATAATAATTTGACGATTGAAGTGAAACGTAGCTTATTATCACTCAGTGCACTATGAAAATATCATGTCAACTGAAATATCCGCGGGCTTAGAAAGGTATTGTCCTAGATCGTTTGAATATATGTACCTTAATTATATTTTTTAGTTTTCTCCAAGCGATATTAATTTTAGACAGTCAATTTTTATTTCTTAAATTTCTCTTTGTTCGTGTTCTGAAATAGAATAAGCGAATAAATGCACTTTTATATTTATAATTATTAGTGTTCTTCTAGTTGTAGAAATTATCAACCGACTTCAAAAAGGAGGAGGTTCTCAATTCGACTGTATTTTTTTTTATGTTTGTTGCCTCAGAACTTCGTCATTTATTAACCGATTTGGACATTTTTTGTTTTATTTGAAAGGGCCAGATTGGTCCCATTTAATTTTCAAAAAAAAATACCACCCCTAAGTGTTGAAAAATAGCTAATAATGAATTCAACCTACTTCTAATTGTCATATTGACTTGAAACTTTGCAAGTGTTTCTATTTCCGTTGATAGTACAGTGGTTCGGTATTGTTGACCTGATCTGATGGTAAGGCCAGAAGGTGGATAGGTGGAACTCTTCAACGACTAATAGTTGATACTTTGAGTTTGGGCTTATTTTGTTTGGTTTGACAAGCCTAACATTTTAGAATTCTTACTTTGCTACTACTGTCTACACTAAAAAGGGAAAAATAAAAACTTTTTTTTTTTTTTTTTTTTTTTTTTTTTTTTTTTTTTTTTTTTTTTTTTTTTTTTTTTTTTTTTTTTTTTGGTTAAATCTTGCGATCAGTCTTTCAGACTATGAGCAGATGAGATGGTTAAATGGCATGTTAGGCTCTACTCCCAGTGGGGTCTGCCCTATCTTTACAAAGTCATTCTTCTTTCTGACTGTTCTGGTCGAAAAGGTCACGCCGCTTTTTTAATCGGCGGATGCTTTCCGGGATAGTAAGTTGTCCTGCTAGTTTGTTCGGATGCCTTAGCAGCCGGGATTTGTACTTTTCGCCATGTGTTTTTATCTCCTCATTGACCATAGGAATATTGAGGATTTCATGGATTTCTGTAGTCTTGATAAACCACGGTGCATTGGATATTTGTTTTAGTATATAATTTTGTGCCCTTTGCACTTTCATTATGTTGGAGGTACTGGCTGATCCCCAAAGTTGGATGCCGTATGTCCAGATTGGCTTTAGAATGGTCTTATATATTAGGAGTTTGTTATCTATCGCCAGTTTTGAGTTTCTTCCAAGAAGCCAGAGAAGACTTCTGTATTTCAGGTTCATTTCTTCCCTTTTAGTTTCGACATGTTTTCTCCATGTGAGCCTTCGGTCAAGATGCATGCCCAGATATTTTACAGACTCGTGATGTGGGAGTTGGCTGCCGTTTAGGGTAACGGGGTCACAATCATGTTTGCATAATGTAAACGTTATATGCACTGATTTGGATACGCTGGCTGCAATTCTCCATTTGGCTAGCCATTCTTCTGTTTCATTCAAGCTACTTTGTAAAATGCGAGATGCTTGTGTTGGACATTTGTGCGAGGCAAGTAAGGCAGTGTCATCCGCGAAGGTGGCAATTGTGATCTCGGAGCTTTGAGGTAGGTCGGAGGTAAACAGGGTGTACAAGACGGGACCGAGGACCGAGCCTTGTGGTACTCCTGCGGATATTTCATATAGTCGTGAGGTGGATTGGTTTTCTCTTACTTGAAATATTCTGTGTGTAATGTATGATTTTAGTACTCCATAGAATGTGTGTGGTAATAGGGTTTTTATTTTGAAGAGCAGACCTTTGTGCCAGACTCTGTCAAAGGCTTGTTGTATATCAAGAAAGGCAGCTGAGCAGTATTCTTTTTTTTTCAAAGGTTTTTCTGATCTTCCTGCACACTCTATGGACTTGTTCTATGGTAGCATGTTCTTTTCGAAATCCGAATTGGTGTTCTGGGACAATTTTCTTCTCATTGAGAACAGGTAACATTCTATGTAGTAGGGACTTTTCGTACAGCTTGGACATAATTGGTAGTAGACTGATAGGTCTGTATGAGGTGACATCATGCATTGGTTTACCGGGTTTATGGATCATTATTACTTGTGATACTTTCCATATGTCTGGGAAGTAGCCTACTCGTTGAATGGCGTTAAAAAGCATGGTTAGATACACAATTCCTTTGTAAGGCAATTCTTGAAGGACTTTTTTGTCAATAAGATCATAACCAGGGGCCTTGTTGTTGTCCATTAGGTTAATATTCCTACATATCTCCTTGGGCGTTACTAACTTCAAGGGTAGATCCAGCTGAATATCTTGGTTGAGGACAGTATCGATATCAGATTCATCCGCATTTGGTCTTGGGTTGTTAGGCTTAAATACATTGCTGAGATGGTTCGCAAATGCATCAGCTTTGTCTTGTTCGGTTCTAATCCAGCTTCCATTTGGATTCCGAAGCGGTGGTTTGTGGTGTAAGGGTCGATCCAAGTTTTTACTGGCTCTCCATAATGAATAGTCAGTTGCTTTAGTAGCTGTGAGGCCTTCTAAGTAGGCATCTATTGCAACACCATCTGCTTCTATTATAAGGGTTTTTAGTTCTTTAATTGCTCTGTTTAGCGCTGTTTTGTCATTTGGGTGTCTGCTAGTATGCCATATGCGCCGTAGTCTTCTTTTTTCCATGATTTTTTCCCGTATGGTTTCCGAGTATACTTTATTTTGTGGTAATCGTTCCTTAACTTCTGGTGTTGACTTCCAACAGCTTTCTTGGATTACTGAGGTGATGTTTCTTGCAGCAACGTCGATGTCTAATTCGGTTTTCAATGGTATTTTTAAGTTTATTCCATCTTCAACACATTCGCGAAATGAACACCAGTCTGTGCGCTTGTTATATAATTTGGTGGTTCTTTCGGTGTTTAACACCGTGGTGCCAATAGTTAGAATTACCGGAACATGATTAGAGTTTGCGTCTAGGCTTGTCTCTACATGGTGAAAGAGCCTGGATAGTCCCTTTACAATAAAGAAGTCTATGACATCCGGGAGTTTGTTTGGGTCTGTGGGCCAGTTAGTTGGGTCTGTTGTAGAGATTGTCCTGAGATGGTTTTTGTCTATACTCTTTTTAAGCTCTCTGCCTCTTGTATTGGTAAGTCTGGAGGCCCAATGAACATTTTTGGCGTTCCAGTCACCTCCGGCTATGAAGCGGGTGCCTAGGGTGTTAAAGTAGTCATTATATTGTCCCTCATTTAGTTTATGTTTGGGAGGGCAGTAAATTGCAGATACATTAAATGCACCATTTCGATCTTCTATTGCGACTGTTGCTGCTTGTATGTGCTCAGTTTTGTATTGTGGTTGTTCGTAATGTTTGATACTAGACTTTACTACTATAGCCGCTCCAGCATGTGCAGTGCCGTCAGGGTGATCAGTGCAGTAGATGTTATAGTTCTGTATTTTAACACGACTGTTTGCAGTTGTGTGAGATTCTGGCACTAGTAGTATGTCTATGTTGTGGGTATGTAACAGAACTTCTACCTCTACCTTATTTGGAGATAGCCCCGCTGGGTTCCACGTTGCTATCTTGAGGGAGGTCATTGTGAAATCTTGGTGACTAGAGTTGTTATGAGATTGATTAACATACTCATTTGTTGTAGGATTACATCAAATTTTTCTGCTTGCTTTAAAAGCATCTCTTCTATGCTTTTTGCTTTGCTTGTTGTGGGGTCGTTCTCATCTATGAAGGTTTTCTTAGGTTTTGTGGCTTCAGCGTAGGACTTTTGCGTGTTGTTGGACTTTGGCCGTGGTTCAGTTGGGCAGGCCGAAGGAGTGAGTCTGGTCCATTGATTTAGAAGAGATGAGTGGTTTTCCTTTTGTGGCCGTGCCTTGTCACCGGCACCTGGTTTTGGATTTTTTCGGTCCGTAATGTGTGTGTTTGTCTTCCTTGCTAGTATTTCTCTATATACTTCGCACCCTTTGTAGTTTGCTGGATGCGCACCTTGACATAGGGCACATTTTGCTGGGGAGTTGCGATCCTTCTTTGGGCATTCGGATGTTTTGTGTGATAGAGCGCACTTCACGCATCGGAAGGGCCTCATGCAGTAGTTTTTAGAGTGTCCATACTGCTGGCATCTTTGACATTGCACTATTGAGGTTCGTTTTCTTGGGTCTTCTATAGTTACCGATTGATGGTGTATAAATTTAATGCTTTTTATAGCCTTGTTTTTGGGACTAGGTTGAAGATTGGCGAAGAATGTAGATGTTGGTTTCTTCTCTGGGCCATATATAAAAACTTTTTAACAAAAAAATAAAAACCGACTTCAAACAAAAGCACTAAAAAGTAAAAAATAACTGATTGGTAGTTTTCATTTACTATACATACCTAATCAAATATTTTCGAAGTCGGTGTGCTTTGCTTTGTATGGGCTGGCACCGATTTCGAAAATATTTGATTAGGTATGTATTTAATAGGTAGGCTTTAATTACTTAGCCAAAAATATATATACATATATATATATATATATATATATATATATATATATATATATATATATATATATATATATATATATATATATATATTAAAAGATCAGTCAGTTCAAAAAATAATTATTTTTCATCAAATTTACAAAAACTTTTTATAAAACTGGTTCTGTCCACTCCGACACGATTTCGATCACCGCACACGATGTCTGTTTGTATTGGTTATACAAATATTTTATTCGATTTAGCTACAGGATAGAGAGGCGTTAAATGTATTTAGGAATATAAAATCTTTAAACTGCTTACAGTTGTTATAGTCTTTTTAAATATATCGTTCAAATTTTTTTTTACATAAAAACTTTGTTCAAATTAAAAAGTACTGCTTAGAAAAACAGTTTCATTATCTATGATTAGTTAAAGAACTTAATTAACTAACAGTTACTCCACGGCAGTGGTAGTTCAATGGTAGTGCGCTCATTTGGGAAACTGAATAAAGTGGGTTCAAATCCCGGTTCTCGTACTTCTGATATTTTCATGTGCAAATCGTTTCTAACGTGATTACCACTTGTCGTACGGTGAAGGAAAACATCGTGACGAAACCTGCATGTCTGAGAGAACCTAGCAAGTTTTAGAAAGACATGTGAAGTCCGCCAACCCGCACTTGCCAGCGTGAAAAGGGGAGACCCGTGCCCAGCTAGGGGCGTTAAAAAGGGCTGAAAACAACAGGTAAATACTTTCACGCGTAGAAATTTTTTGGGATTCCATAAAGAAAAAATGTGGGAACAGAAATTATTTCTTTGAATTGATTTTGTAATCATATTTGATCATAAGTAAGCAATATGAAACGCATGTTATATAGTGGCTATTAACTCTACCACAGAATGTATAATTGGCATGCCAATTTGACACAAATTATGAGTGCTTCATTTCCTACAATAATTCTGACGGCAGTTTCATTTTACGAATGTATTTTTAAGCTGTGTTAATAAGGTCGGCTTATTTCGACGCTTTGAATTGCTTTTTATGCTTTAAAAGTTAAGTGGAGACATTATAATTAAGTGAGTGATTATAATTTTAGTATATTTTTGGCTTTCTCTGCACTGAATGTCTTCATATTATACCAGGTAACTTAACAAGTAAAGTGATTTTAAATAAATAGTGATTGCATCTTGTAGTTATTTTCATTGGAAACCAAGCACAAACATATCCCAAATGATACCAAAGTACCATATTAAGCTCGAAAAGTTATTTTTATGCATCCTATCTACCTTGCGCTAAGAGTACTGGCATCAAAATCACTTTAAAATTAAAGGTGAGATAATTGAAATTTATTTACCTATCTTTAAGTTTGAGCTATTGTGTAGAAGGGACAATTATACAAAATACTTAAAAGTCCCATAATATAAAATAGAAAAAATGAAACGTACAACAGTATTCTTTGTTTTCTCCCTTTTAAATACCCAACTTTTAAAACAAAAACCATTTAAAAATATTGAACTCTACCGATTCACCCTTGCTTCGCTCAAGTTTGTCCCTAGGTTGATTCCCCATAGAAACTTTCATCCCCATTTTCACCCCTTTATGGGATGATTTCCGGGATAAAAAAAATTTATGTCCTTTCAAGGGTCTCAAAGTTCTTCTTACCTATCTAAATCGGTCCAGTAGTTTCAAAGCTTGTTCGGCACAAACAGGAAAACAAAAAAATCTTTTCTCTTTATGATATTAGTGTAGAATTAAAAATCTATATAGCATAAACCCATTTCCAAAATTCACTAATTCACTGGCGCCTTTCAAAGGCTTGGGGATTCGTGATAGCTTTATCGCATATCAAATTCGTTGCACCGAGTATATCACAATTACCTGGTAACCGAACATTTTAGACCATAACTGAACATTATTTGGTAGACGGCTAATGCAGTTTGCTGTAGATTACTAGAAGCGATTTAACAAATATTGCTCCTATTGATTAACATGTATATCTAACATAAGATAATCTGTAGGGACATATGTATATCTAAAAATAAAAATATTGGAGTCTTATAATAAGCAATTCGTGTATATATTAAAATTTGTCGTGTATCTCAGAAATGGCTCTAACGATTTAGAACAAATTTTGTATTTAGATACGGTTTTGCTTTTTAAGTTTATCTATATAGGCGTGAAAGACACCTATATAGATAAATTAAAAAAAAAAAAAAATTTTACATCTTTTCCGGAAAAGCACGGTTCTACAAAACGCCAGTTGACGCTCAGTCATCTACGTACTTAGTCGTTATCCTATACGATGAGTAATTTTCGAAAGTAATATTTTCTTCTTAATCTAAAAGTATAAATTTAGTTTTCTTTGGCGGACTTCTCATGTCTTTTGAAAACTTGCTAAGTTTTTTTCAGACAGCTTCAGCAGGTTTCCTTACGACGTTTTCTTTTATCGTAAGAAAAGTGGTAACTTCACATGTCGGACTTCACATGTCTTTTGAAAACTTGCTAAGTTTTTTTCAGATAGCTTCAGCAAGTTTACTCACGATGTTGTCCTTCACCGTAAGGAAAGTGATAAGCATGTTTGAAATTATTCGCACATGAAAATATTACAGGTACAAGCCCCGGGATTTGATTGAACTCCCTTCATTCAGTTTCCAAGCAAGTGCGTTACAACTGAGCCACCATTGCATTCAAAAATCATCAATGATAGCAAATAAAAGGGAACAATTGAGAAATTTCAATTCAATACAGATAAATCATATCCAGTTTCAATACATCTTGAATATAGATACTCATCTTTGTAGCAAGTGCATTAGTTAATGCGATTGTTCCTCAAAACATTTCACCAATCAACGCTATCGCAATCCACACGATTGTAGGCTGTAACTAAAGAATTATGGCTTGCTAATTTTACTTGAAATTCTGCTTTACAAACTATTCTATTATTAATCCTTTACAAGCGGCTTGCCTTCACTTCGCTCGGGTTCGCCTCTGGAAAAACAAAAACAAATCTTTTCCACGGGAACCGTACATTTATCGGGATAAAAAGTGGTCTAGATAAAAATACACGTGAAATTTTCGTTTTATTTTAATTTATGTATTTCAATACACTTAGCCAAAAAAATATTAAAGAATATGTATTGATAAAAACACATGTATTGCAATTAATAAAAACAAAATCCAAGACACAAATCGGAAAATTTAATGATATCTAATAAGTACCATATGATACTTGCGTTAACAAGACAAATCTAACGACATATGAATCATCAAAATCGGTTAAGTCATTTAATAATTACGAGGGAACATCACGCAAAATAGGCGCATAGTTGTCGAGTTGCGGAAAATAGTTCGAATATACCATACCATACGAGGGAACATAGGATCGGACATAACGCTTTTTTGGACTTCGCCGCAGTCGAGTAAAAAGTCGAATATGTATATATTCGACTTTACTTATACCTTAAACCTTTCTCACGTAGGACATATGCAAAAAGTGATTAAAAAATAAATATTTTGGGACATTAACACACAGCACCATGTAGTTCCATGGTAAGTTACGAGGCTTGTGTTATGGATACCAGATAGTTGATACACTACACGTATATAGCTTTTAAATACATACATATTATAAATATATACACCCATGACTGGAGTACAAATATTTGTACTCATCACACAAACGAATGCCCCCAGAGGGACTCGAACCCGCGACCGCTGACACAGCAAGAAGGGTCACTACAAACTGAGCCAAACGTGTCCACGATACATCCTTTATCCATGATTAAAGTGGATTTTAAGATAATAACCCAAGATATGTTATTCAAAATCAGTATTCGTTAGTTACGCTGTTAAGTAAAGCTTTTAAACGCTACACGAATGTAAAGACATGATGAATGAGGTATCGTATCGTGAAAACAGGTCAGTGTGATGTCATATTTTACTTTAACCACTTTATAGAAAGACAAGCGACTCACCCCCGTTCCGCTCGGGTTGGTCCCTACTTACGTTTTAACGTTTAGTATACAAGTTTAATAAACAAGAACAAATCTATCCCACGGGAACCGTACATTTTTCGGGGATAAAAAGTAGCCTATTTGTTATGCTAATGTATGAACTATATTATTGTAAAGTTTCATTAAAATCCAATCTGTAGTTTTTGTGTACTAAGCTAGTAGTTACTTTACTTTTTAACTATCCCACGTGAACTCTTTTGATTTTCCGGAATGATAAGTCCCTAAAATGTTTACTGGGATGTAAGGTAATATGCATGCAAAATGCAATTTAAATCGGTTCAACAGTTTATGAGATTAGCCCGTACAAACAGACAAACAGGCAGAGAAACAAAAAAAATTGAAAAAAATCTGGATTTTATTTCTCTTCTTACACCCCCCTCACTTGGTATTTAGCATTTTTTCTATATAAAGAAATTCGACCTCTAAAGTTTTATTATATATATAGGTAGATTCCTCGGAGATGATATATTTTCCCGCAGTAAAAAGTATCCTATATGTTGACTCGGATAACCAGCAATTATCATACTCAATTTCATCAAAATCTATCCAGTGGTTTTCTCGTGGTGCGGTTAAGGACGGACAGGACACGTTACAGGGAATATTTTCTAAAAATACAGATTCGGCTCAGTTATAATTTTATTATTTATGTAGATATTAAGTCAAAAGTTTTGTAATAAAAATTAATTTTGCTATAATTGTTTCTAACTTTTCAAATAGTTTTAAGTTATGATATATGGTTTCATCTGAGCGTGGTTTCATTTTCAATTAAACGTTACATTGTTCATTTATTACTTACGATATATTTTAATTTAGTTTTTTTTTTTGTTTCAGAGGTGACTTTTCAGTCTTTTCAGACTTTTCGGTCGTTTGCAGGCTATCAGTTCTTTTCTAGACGGTTAAAGGATATGAGCAACTTCGACAGATCTAATCTATTCTAAACTTGTTACACTTGAATGACATTGCAACGAGATGGTAACCTTGGCTTGATGCTGCATTATCATTCTGAATCTGCAAGATACTCAACTAAAAAAGTAACGATATACTAAAATTCGAATGGATTTCTTATGTGGGTATTGTTCATATCCTTTTACTGTCTAGATAAAATCTCAACGGATTTTTTGATGTATAATTAAAAATACTCTCGATCAAGTCACCTTTCATACAAAAAAAAAACTAAATTGAAATAGGTTCATCCGTTTGGGCGTAACGTACGATGCCACAAAAAGACACACAGATACACACGTTAAACTTATAACTTAAATCTTTTTGCTTCGGGAGTAAAAAATAAATAAATTTCATCATAAAATTCAATGTGGAAATTTAAAATATTTCAAAGTACTAGATCTGAGTGAAACCGCGACAGTTCTAGCGGTAAGCCGTAATAAACAGTCAAAGTAATACCTATTACTGTCTCGCTAAAGTAAAGTGTACGTCAAGCGCTGTTTAAACAAGAGCCTGCTTATCTTCTTACTTTATTTTTCTCTTTTAAATGTTGCATCCGATTTGCTTTAACATTAATATTATTTTATGTTTTTAGATATTTGTTTTTGTATTTTAAGTCTTATATTCAGCCCTTTTTAACGTCCCACTGCTGGGCACGGGCATTCCTTCAATATGAGGGGGATCAGGCTATAGTCCAACACGCTGGTCAAGTGCGGGTTAGTGGACTTCACATGTTTTGTTTATTTTAAATCTTATCAGACAGACATTTTTAATTTCATTTACTAGTAACATGCTTTGGTTTCACCTGTTTTTTTTTCAACCGAGGAAAATGTTTTCTAACATACATTTCACTGCGATATATAAGCTTTTATAGTATGAATAAGTTATTAATAAGCACATGAGTACTCATAAACTTTCGAAATTATGTAATTATAAATCTTTTAAGACTTTACATATCAATTATTTTTTATCTAGAATAAAATAAATATCATATAAAGTGTCAAAAAAAATTAAATACGTAATTATCGACTAAAAATAGTATTTTTCCTTAAAATTCAAATTATGTTAATATCAAAGAATCCCTCATTAAAAGTAATTAGAACTCAATTTAAGCGTAGACCCTTAAATCGATCTGTGTTATCAAAAATGCTGTGAATTAATATACGAGTACCTATGAAAACAAAAACTATGAATAGATTAATCCTTTTAAAACTTTTGATAGAATATTATAACAAAATTTATTTTCCCATAATCGTAGATCTAAACTCGTAATGGACCCATTGAGGATGGAATGAAACAAATGTATCATCATAATAAAATGGCGTTTCGCCAGAGCTACCACGGAATGTCGCT